GTGATTAGTGTTACTTCATATTAATTGGGTGATTATTGAGAAAATTATGAATTTTGTAATATTGTATAATTATGTAATATTATTATGAATTTGTTTCATTATTGTGGGAGGTGTTGGGAGACTTGCTATTGTTGTTGTATTTATGTGCCACGTGGTACGCCCCTATTGGAGCTCAATAGGTGGCTTGTAAGGGCTCGGGCTAATCTACCTTTGGCCGGGTAATTTAGCACCGAGTGAGGGCTACAGCTCGAGGTTAATGGAGGGATATAAGGATGGTTGTTTGTGTGTATTGTAATATTTCTTATATTTGTTGGAATTATATTATTTTTAATTCTCACTTAGTAAGCACACACTTAACTGTTTGTATACACTATCATAAATTGGCTTTGGTTACTGGGACTTTTGAGTCTCATTATGTGATTAACAATTTTCAGGAGAAGAGCCACGAGTGACACGTGGAGGAGTCCCAGAGGCTTAGTGGTATAGATCCACTGTCTCTTTTGGGTATTTAATTTATGATTTATAATGTGTTATATTGCCAATATTAGGGCTTGTTGTTTATTGTCAATTATATGAATATATAAATGTAATCATGCCTTTCAAACTATTTCTATTTTTGGTACAATTTGGATGACTGTAATTTTAATATTTGGTTTACTTTGGATTGGTTAAAATGGCATGATTATAAGGCCAAATAACTGGCTTGTGTTGAAAATTGACTAAATTGCTTATTTTACTTGTTTGGAGTATAAGGATGGACAAATATGATTTAGTTTACTTGTTGGGAGTATAAGGATGGACAAATGTGATTTAGCCTAATGGCATGTGGGAGGTAAAAATTTATCTGAAATGTTATAGTGTATGAATTGAAGCCAATTATAAAATATTTTATATTGAAATTATTGATATAAAAATGTATTGGGTGGCTGTAACCCAACTATGGTTGAGTTAAATTATTTAAAAAAAAAATTTTGGTGTGTTACACCTTCGACTAGAGCCATCAACAACTCGGTTTGAATCAAAAAATTATTTTCATGATTGAGCCACATTGGACTAGAATTAAGCCGCCATTGAGTAGAAAACTTGAGTTGAGCAGGGAACCTGAGCAGTTTTTAAAAAACCAAACAATTTTAAATATAATATTAAAAAAATCCTTAAAAATTTTAAAAAATAAAAGAATTTAAAAATTAGATCCTAATAAAAACTAACTTTATTTTTAAACAATTCACATATATAAAATATGATTTAAGACTAATTTTTTATAAATATGTTAACAATTATAGATATAAATATAAATACTTTTGGATCTATTTATATTTAATTTAATCAAGATTCACCTATATTTGACAACTGATAAAATTATAATTTATAAGATTATTAATTTAAATTCATGTTATGTCATTTTATTAACATATTATAGATTTTTTTATATTTATTTTATATATACATTTAATATTATTTTTATTTAATTATTACATCATATGTTCAATTATTGGTTTAACCGATTTGGACCATGCAAACCGTAAACCAGTATCTTTTTCAATTCAATGTCTAATTCGGTTCTAAAAACATTGATAGAAATATAAAAAGGTAACGTGACAATCCTTTGGTCCTAATTAAAGAATAAAATTAATTAGTTTTGTGATTTTTAAAAAATTATAGTTAAAATTTTTAAGCTTGTAAGAAATGAGACTTTGTAATTTCACCCTTCACTCTTCACTGAAACTAACAGCCACAGTAAAATGTTCCTAGGAATTAAAAATTTGTCAACTACTTGGTGCAGTTAAGAAAAAATTAACATTGAAAGAAAATATTAACCATTATATTTTACCCTACATTTAAGAACAAATACAATTTTAGAACTTTTTTCTATAATAAGGAAAAGCTGAAATATAATGACAATAGCCATAGGAATAGAGTATCTATCTTGATCTCCCGCCAGTATTCTGGCTTATCAAGTCAGATTTTAATTATAATTTTATGCCTTATAATGAATTTTATATATATACTCCCTTCTTTAAAAAATTTTTTAAGGAGTTGAATGTTTAAAAATATAAAAAAATTTTTAAAAGTACCTCTATTGAATAAATCAATTTATATTTATTTTAAGGTGAAACATTTTGTTAAAGAGAGGTAAATTTAAAAAAATAAAGTTAGTTTGAAGACAAATAATTACTTTACTAGGAATAATATTTAATTAAAAATATCTTTTATTTTTTAACAAAGGGAGTATAAAATTGATTAGAGTATACTTTTGATCCTCTAATTTTATATAAAAAAATTTTATCTTTTAATTTTATAAAATATCTTTTTTAGTCCCTTAACCTTAAAACCTATTACTTTCACATAGTAATTTTTTGTACCAATCATTATTATTTTAAAAAAATTAAATTTAATATGTCAACATTTGAGAATATTTTATTAATAGTTAAAAATTTAATATAAAATACTTTTATGATAAAACTAATGGTGTTATAATTAACGAATTAAAAATACATTTTATAAAATTAAATGACGAAAATGAAACATTATCTAAATTAAAAATATACTTTAACATATGAAATTTTTATCATCTTTGTGATTCTTCCCCTGTCTATATACAATAGCAGATGTTGTTGATGTACTCTCACTACACCTACGCTACTCATTCTGGTGAAACTTGCATATGTATTTACACGATAATAAAAATTTCAGTCTCTGATATAGTATTTTAAGTTTAATTTTTATCTATTTGATTCCTTAAATTTGTCTTGACTACTCCCTCCATTTCTAATTGTAGAAAAAACCATCACTTTTTGCTTCTTTATATATATATATATATATATAAGCAAAATTACCTATTTCAATAGGTATTATTACACATTTCCTAAAGCACCCATCATAATTTACATTAATAAAAAATACTTAATACATGCTCATGTTAATTAACATAGGACATTTTAGTCCAATTTTTTTATTTTTAAATATAATTATTATGGTTAATTAACTTTTTTAAATTGCGTGATACAATTTTTCTCTTATATGTATATATATATATATATATGTATGTATGTATAAATGGAGGAAGTATCAATTTGATCTTTATTATTTACATACATGACAACACTATTAAAATATAATGAAATGGATAGGAGAATATTAATAGCAGACATGTAAGTTAATTAAACGGAGTCTAATTATTTTACTAAGAAAAAAATTCAAAATTAAAAAAAAACAAAACAAAACACAACATAAGGGATAAATTAAATTTATTAGAGAGCTAATTTTTTTATTAAGCTACATATATAATAAATGTAAGGGATTAAATCAAATCAAACTTGAGGGACTAAAATTTTTATTATTCCTTTATTTACAATTTAATATATATATATATATATACATGTATCTATGTATATGTATATGTATATATTTATTTGGTTGTGAAATTTTTACACATTACCAAGACCCAAGTAATTCAAAGCGAAGAAGCATCCAAATACAAAAGAAATGATAGAAAAGTTTAGTGCATGTTTAGGACATGAAAAAATAATGAAGAAAATAGAAAACGCACCCATTTTATTTTCTTTATAGATGTATACTTTTATTTTTTTATTTTCAGAAAGCAATGTTTCACATATCAAACTTGCACTTTAGTTTTAAAATTAAAAGAAATCAAGAGAGAAATTAATGAAATCGAAAAAAGTGCCATACTTTGTTGATACGAAAGCTTCCAATATAAAGATAAATCAAATAATAATTAATAAATATCTCAATAATATCTAATGAATATAAAATATTCTCTAAATCTAAACAATATATCATAATAAAAATTAATGGCAAACTCAATTTATGAAAATAACTTTGGTTGGATTGCTTTGAGAGGTTGTGGATGAAGAAGATGGGCGTTGTAGTGGAAAATAGGGGCCAAAAAGAAAAGTAGTAAAGCAAGTCTGAGCTTGTTACATTTATTTTACTTTTTAAGAACGAACTACAAAAGCTTTGGTTGTTGCAACTAAGTAGTGGAATGAAGCTACTTTCTTTTTTATTTGTCAATATAATTGTCCTTTTTTTCCCAAAAAAAAAAAAAAACTAAGTGGTGTAATTCTTTATAAGTAAAGTGATACTTTCCATCTGTTAAAAAAATAAAAAAACGTGACACTTTCCAATCTTATAATTACTCTCCCCCTAATATTAAATTAATTCATAATTCCTTACACGTGCTAGCATGAGTGAAAACTCAACGGGCTTATGAATTCATCCTTACCAAACTTACCCGGCCCAGTACTTCCTTGCCTTACACTGGCCTTACAAGGAAGATGAGTCCTCTTCGAAACTCTTCTTCGAAGTCACCTGGCTCTTGAAACTCCCATAACTTGGTGGTCAGGTCAACTCCTGTTATTGGTTCTTATTGTTTATGGGTTTAATTCACGCCATCTGGCTTTCTTCTTTATATGTCATCTTTCTTCTGCCTAATCTGATCAGTGCAACCCGGTTCAAGAAAGCAGGAAATCCAGTAATTTGGGCTTAGGAAGGCATCTCTGGGCTATTCCTGCATCTGAATCTACATGTACAGATTAAATTAAAAATGATAAAATAGTAAAATCAGTAACACATCAGCAATTAATTAAAGACTAGGAGATTAATTAATCCATAAATATATTCCACATCAACAACGTTATTTGCACATCAGCTTTTTCTAGGGCTATTTTTATTAAGATTTCATATTTTTCAACATGAGATACGAAGTCTCATTTTAATATACGATCCCTTATTCGTGATCACAAACAGATGCTCATCAATCATGAATGAAGCCACAGCTCACAAATCATTTTATCATCTTTGATACTTTGTTTTGTTGGCTAAAATATAAAAATGAAACATTTCTTCAAGCATGTCCAATAAAATTGGAACGACACTGAAAAGATTAACATAACCCCACACAAGAATGACTCGTACAAATTGACAAAGTGCAAATATAAAACAGGTGATGAAAAAAAACACACAATGATTGCTTTAGTGGATTTAAAATAAAATATAAAATATAAAATAACATAAAACTTTGTAACTTACATGATTTTGGTAGGATTGAATTTTAGCGAATTATAAAAATGAAAAAAAAAAAAGTGGTGTAAACAAAATACAATGATTCTTTTCTTAAAAATGAACCCTTGCTTTGACATTATATTTGCCTCAATCTTAATGGTATATTGTCCCCCAAAAACAAAAATCCCGTGGAAACGGGTAGACAAAAGGGCAAAAATTAATAACAAATTATAAGCCGACATGAAGCATCTATTGACGTTTGCAGGCAAGTGGTTCTGAATAGCAGCTCATCAACAATCAACTTGCTCTCATGGATGATAATTTTCATCTTGTATCCTTTCGTATTCTTCACATCACTGACACTCGCTTAAAAGAATCAGCCAACAGAGCGTACTTTCACCTCCATGGCCCATCAGAAAAATAAAGGAATTGTAATGCTTCCCTGGTCGGAAAAGCAATCTTCAAAAGGATTTGCAAGGCCCGATTACACTTGCAACCAGCCAGCGAATAACAGATGAATCCCTAGAACTTGAAGGCTGTGACTCATGTCATCACATGTTCTGTATATATCTAACTTCTTCAGATAGAATTGTCAGAAGAGGGGAAAACAAGGCAAATCAATTTTGGTTATATACCTAGAACCAGAAGCATTATCAGAAGGTTAGACTCAGTTTAATGGAAGAAAGTTTACCTAGTTATTGAAGAAGGCTGTGATTCATCTGATCACGTGTTCTGTATATATCCAAACTCTTCAGATAGAATTGTGAAAAGAGGGGGAACCGGAAGCATTATCAGAAGGTTAGACTCAGTTTCAGAACCTCCTTTAGCAACCGATTGATTGAATTGTTTACTTTATCAGGAACAACCAGCCCAGGATCCACTATAGACATGGAATAAGAGCAAATGACCTTCATTGTCACAGCCAAATCCAAATTGTTTTTATCAGTCCGCCAAACACTTTGATTCACAAACTTGCATGAATCTCTCAGCACACATTTACAGCAAACCTGATGGAGAATGAAATTGTAAATTATGAAGATAAGCAATTACAGCTCTATAAAGTATTTACACACACACACACACACTCTTCATCTGAACCACAATATAAGTCATTATCACCTAATTTACGTTTTTCAAAAAAAGTTGGTTAAAATTTCAATTTTCTAAAAATTTTCACATCTTTCTAGTTGTGCCCTTGAGTGTAATAAATACAACATCTGACTTATTCAACACACCTTCAATAATTACTCAATAAAGTAAGGATGTTCTTGAAAATATATATAACACCTACCCAATGCCCTACATTTTGTACCAAGCAAAGCTTATAGAAAACAATTTATATTGTAGTTCGGAGGGAGTATACAGAAAGTATTTATGCAAGATGTGTCTTACAGTGTTCTCTGGAATCTTAAAATAGGTTCGCAGTCTTTTAGAAGCAAAGACTTGTGACCTGCTAGTAGAGGGGCAGCCAAACATTGCCACCTGCTTCAAGTCACTTCCTGACAGCCATCTGCAAAATCCAATTTCATTTCAGCAAATATAAATAATTCTAGAGTCAACTGTTAAGGAAAGGAAAAAGGGAATAAAAAGAAAAGAGAAAAGGGTATCATGCAGAAAAAAGGCTCCATGGAAGCAAGTTTACCTAGTTATTGAAGCACATAAAATGCAAATTGAGTAACTTGCCTGTTCACATAGGCAATGACAAATCGGGCAAAGATGCATATGGAACTCAATTTACTCAAGTTTGCATTATGAATTCGTTTTGCACATAAATAATCATGTCAACAAAGTATAGTGGCATTGTGCAATATATATCGCCAACCTCTCTAAGTGGGATAAAGTTTACTGCTACCATTGTTGTCGAGGATCAAAATCATACTCCTTATAATCTAACAAAAGCTTACATTTTTTTTTCCTTTGGCTCACAGATTAATCATTTCATTTTGATTCATATATTCAAGCTTTTTTCCAGCAAAGAAAAGAACAGCCAGTTCTGACCATCCCTACCAAACATATTGCTTCACCAATGATTAATAATTTAATGAACAGATATAAAATCTACAGATTCTTTCGATATGACATGAACTCAACCAAAAGAAATAGCAAAATAAAAAAGAACCCTTATTGGCTACAAGTGTAAAATACTACTAGAAATAATGTTCGTAGAAGCCTTATGCCATGGTCTGTGAAAGACCATACTGACAATGAAACGAAAATGTCCTAGAAGGCCAAACCACCACATATCACATTAGAAGTGGTACCCATAAATGTACAAGTTTCTTAGAGTGTAAGAAAACTCTAATCATTTATGCTTGTTTATTGCCAAGAACCTGCATGCATTTTGTTTCAAGACTCTTCACTACAATGACCTGGTACTTAGGCTGAATATCAGTTTATTAGATCAATATGAAATTGACAGCTACAAAGCCAGTGATTAGACATCATTATGGCAGCTTCCTCCTTCAACAGAGTGATTCACCTAATTTGTACAAAAAAAATTAATTTACCTAATTTCATGCAAACAGGATAATATAACTTCTCTATATTTCCTTCATTGGTTGAATAATCAGAACAACACTAACAAATTGTCTAGAGAGTCACTAGCAGAAATCTAGACTTACAAATCTCAAAGAATTCAATTTGCGACATCATTGATCAGTAGATCTATATTCATCTTATTATTCTGAGGCAGAGTAAGTTTTGTGGATATTTAGCCAAAGCCAGAGGAAGCAAAAGTATCACAAAGAAAATTTAGAAGTTAAAATAAGAAAAAAGAAAAAGAAAACAAAGAAACTCAAATTGATAGTTTCACAAAAAATGTTCCAACAAATAAAATGAACATCAAGAACAAACATACTCAAACTATAATTCTTTAAAGGACAGGCAAAAAATTAAGAGGGAACCCTGAAATACCCAAATTTCTGGCTTAAGACAAGCCATGAAACCCTATTCAACATCAAACATGTTTCGATAAGTCAAATAGTAGACCAATTATATACAGAAAGTAAAAACAGCCCACCAAGAAGAGTGGAGTATGGCAACTCTTAAGCTGCCCACTATAGGTTTAGGTTAACTTTAAACTTCTAAAATCCAAACCTAATCACCATAGCGGAAAGAATTGACAATCAACATCTACATTCAACTAACTGAGTAAACTTCAAGCATTAGAACATAAAAGAGAGTAATGCTGGTAACTAAAGAAAGACAAAACTGTTAAAAAAAAATCATGCTCATATTCTTCAATATGCATCTTCTCCATAACTAAAACAAATGTAAGTGTAACCATGCAACATTGGATGAGCAGAACAATGTTATCTTACTTGGAGATTTCTTGCTTGTCTTTGCCTAACTTTTGCGCAGCAGACAATGTATAATACCGGGCATAATCATTATCGAACCAGCTAAGATCAAACTTTTTACTCTTGACAAAGTTGGCGTCTCTAAAATACCCTTCTTTGTATAAATAAGACAGGAATAGTTCCATGTCCAACGAAACCTTCTTCGAACCAGTTGGCTCCCTCTGTTTCACTTCCTTATGCGTTTCAACAGGAGCGATTGCAGGACTAAATCTCTTCGAATCAGCTTCGTTCGATTTCTCCCCTTGACTAAACAAATCAAACAATCTCTTCGGCTCAGGTTTCTTCGGTTGCTCCCCCTTAAGAACCTCCTCCTCCTCTTCTATGAATTTAACGTTCCCTGTCCCGGGAATCTTCAATTTCATCTTCGGCTTCTTCTTTTCGTCTTTTACGCGTCCTACTTCACTTTTCTCGTGCTCCGTTTCCTCCGACAAACTCGCGGCTTCACTATGTGTTGGTTTTCCATGGAGCTCCCCCACAACGACCTCCTCTTCTTCTATGAATTTTATTTTCCATTCCATGGGTTTCTTCAACTTCTTTTTCCGCTTCTTCTTTTCGGCTTTTAAACGTCTAACTTCACTTTTCTTATCCTCTGTTTCCTCCGACAGACAAACGGCTTTACCATGTTTCGATTTTCCTTCCACCTCCTCCTCCTCTTCTTGCACGAGTTTTACTTTCGATTCCCCGGATTTCTTCAATTTCTTCCCCGGCTTCTTCTTCTCGAAGCGCCCAACTTCACTATCCTTATGCCCAGTTTTCTCCGACAAACCCGCGGCTTCACCTTGTTTCGATTTTCCTACGAGCTTCCTGTAATCGATTCTCTGTTCTGAAGGTTCCTGAAAGAGAAAATGCAACGTCTTTATGCCATGCGTTGGGGCTGATTCTGCGAGGGTTTGAGAAGAAGAGGCGAAGGGTCTGGGCTGGAAAGGAGGGTTTTTGCGGGAACAACGAGGGTTTGAATGGACAATGTGGTCGAAAAAAGCGAGATTGTGCGATTCCAGGAGGGAATGGAAGCGGCGAGAGAGGAGGGTTCTTACTAAAGCCATGGATGGGGTTGAGCGGACTGAGCAGTGAAACACAGCATTTGAAGAACTAGGGTTTAAGGGGACTCCGAATGTCCTATCCCCTCCTCATCTTTGAAGCCGGGAATAAAACCAGATTTAAACCAACTTGAAGATTCTGTTTAAATAAAATTTGAATTTAAAAAAAAATTAAATTTTTTTAAAATAATTAGGTTTGATAATCTGATCTTAATAAACTTTATAAAAAAAAAATTTAAACTCAGACGATCTTTCAAACCCTATATTATTATTATTATTATTATTATTATTATTATTATTATTATTATTTGATGAAACATGAAAATTAAGCTAAAAAAAACTTATTTATTTAAAACTTTGATCCTATATACATTATATTATTATTATTAATTTTAATTTATTCTAAAATTTATTTAATATGATTTAATAAATATTAATATATAGTATAATTTTTTATTTTTTATAATTATTATATTTATATATTTATAAAAATAGACTTTTTTTTATCAAGATTTAAATTTTTTTACTAAACTTTTAATGTTGTTTAATTTTTAAAATATCATAAGAATTTTTATTTTTTAAAATTTTAAAATATTGTAATTAATTTATAATGTAAAATTTTATTTTATTATTTTATTTTTTTAAAACAAAACTTACGGGTTCTATTTTAAACTCCTCCTTAACAAAAAAATTAAATTTAAAAGCTCATGTCCGACCTTTATGGGTGATTCACTTGAACTTTCCTAAAAAAATTGGAGAAAATTAAGGCTTCCTCTTATTGGGTCTTCATGTTGGGTATTGATCTAAGTCCACCAAATTCTTAAAGTCCAACTCATGTGTGGTTGCGTTAAATACCTGTAGGTGAAGATGCGCAAAAACCGATCCATGCCAGGATTCATCCTAATCTATGGTGGGCTCAATATGCATACTCGATCATCGGGTCATCTGAATATTCAGGCCGAGTTTTGACCATAACCCGAAAACTATTTTAAAAGTAATTTTAAAATATGAAAATAATTTTATCAACCTACAAAAAAAATATAATTATGATTATTTCAATATATTTTTTTTAAAACTAATATTGGAATTTAAAGTGATAATTTTAAAATTATATATAATTAACAATGATCAATTATGTTTAGGTGATATAAAGTTAAAAAAATAAATTTCAAATTTTTGAAAATATTAGAAAAATTGAAATCATAAAAATATCCATAATCAACATAAAACAATAAAATACATAGAGAAATACATAGATAGATCGGATGCATCACGTTATTTGTGGTATGTTAAATTAAAATATTTCAAATAATATAAATAAAATCTTATATGATATTTCTTAATTGATTTTATTTTTATAACATAATGCATACTTAAGTTTTTCCTTTTTTTTCTCTCAACTAGTATTAATATTAGAATTAATTTATATTAAATTAAATATAATCTAAATGTCATATTTTTATTAGACAGACTATAAATAATGTGATATACTCTATTCACCTAAGTATTTCTCATAATACATAAAAATATTAAGTAAAATGATACTATAAAATAATTAGTTTTAAAAAGAGTGAAAATAAAAATAAAACCTTAGACCTTTAATTTATACAATGTTTCATTTTGACTTCTTACTTATAAAATATTTTTCAATCATTTAACTCTAATAACATTAGTTTCATCAACTAATAATTGTTACATTCAACTTTTAAATATTAATAATACATTATCAGATGTTGGCATATTACATTTATTTTTTTAAAATAATCATTTAAAATTAATGATATTGGAGTTAAAAGATTAAAAAAATATTTTGTAAAATAAATAGATCAACTTAAAATTTCACATAAATTAAAAAACTAAAAATTTATTTTTACAATATATATATATATATATATATTTTAAGTCAGACAAGGTTATGTTTGACCTTAGTTTGGTGCCTTTTGTCCAAAGCCCAACCCAACAAGCCGGATTGCCTTAGACAAAACTAGACTACCGTGCCACATGCACAACCCTACTTATGGAGATTGGGGAGAGCTTGTCATTCTCGTGTCTAACCTACTTGGAGCTAAATCAGTCAAAGTTCGAAGGATTTTGAATACCAGTTGCACGTAGGTAAAAAGTGGCAGCAATTTCAAAAACATTTACCCTTCCTTTAGGTAGGGAGAAAAATTCCTAAAATAGTAAAAATAGGCAATGCCAAGTTTAACAAGTTTTCTACAAAAATAGATGGGCTTTTTCTAAAAACAAGTAAATGTTGCTGGCCCATTTAAGAATTTGAGCCCAACAACACCGATTGGTCCCCCCCGGCGGGTCCCTGCTATGAGTCCTTGCAATTCAACTTCTAATATTTCCTGTTTTTTTTTTTTAAAAAAAAAACTCTAAGGGTTTCTTCCGCCAATTTATTATAAAAATTAAAACTCTACCCAAAAAATATAAAATTAGAAACATAAAACTTCTATTCGTATTGTATTGTTATAAAATAATGTTGCAAATAGCCAAGTGGTTAAACATGGATCTTCTTTAGAGCCGATACTTTATGGTTTTGGGATTGACGATATACTCTCACAAGATACTGTGTTTGTGTGTGTGTGTGTAATTTTTTTAATTTGCAGTATCAACAAAATATCCGTTATGCTATTATAATTTGCAAATTATCTTCTCATCAAATGACATGGTGATTACCAACCAATATTGGTCCTAGTAGAAAAAGTTATTATCATTTAAAACATAAAAAAAGTTGGATTTTCTCCTCTATAAAGGAAAGCAGAGGAGAAACCAGTGCAAGTTTGAATTGCTAAATTAAATTTAAAATTTAAATTTGATAATTTTTAAAGGTATAAATTTAATTTGAATGATTTAGATTTATAGTGCAGAGACAATGTAGGGGGAAAAAAAGCAAAGTTAAAAAACACATCTCAAACACAAGGTTTCATGTTTGAGTTCAAACCCTCTTGGTGATGGAGGGATTTTATTTTTGCCAGAGACTTTGGAAACTACCATTTTTCCCCTATTTAAAAAAAAATAGTCAAAATGAATTCACGCACGCATCTATCCCCTAGAACCTCATTTCCAATGCAAAGTGAAAGAGAGGATGCTGAAACCCTCACTCTCGGACCTCCCTCCACCGTCTTCAACTTGTCGCCAACTGCTAGAGTTCCGAATTGCGAGTTCTCCCTCTTCCCAACTTTTCGTCGTCTTCTATGTTCTCTACTCTGTTCCCTCTATTTTCGTCTACGCTATTAGTGGTGCATGAAGAGCTAAGTTTCCAGAGCTGGAGGTTCTGTTCGCAAGCTCTTCTCTTCCTGGTTTAGCACTGTCGACTCCTTCCTCTTCCATTTCTCACGAGATGAAAAGGGGCAGTAGTAAAAACATATCATCATCACTCGATCAATCAAATACTCAGACCCCCAGCGCGCGACCCTTTTGGATCTAGGCCAACTAAAATGTCACTTTGCTTTCACACTCTGATCACACGAGCCACCGTGTTCCTTCGTATTGCATTTCCTTTTCAATCAATGCAGGTTACCTTCGCGTGGACTACTTTGCATCTAGAACTTACATAGCTTAGTAATTTCAAGGAAATTGTGGTAAAAATATTGGCAACTCACACTTGCTAACATTCACATCGAGGATTCGCTTTCCAGCCAAAAAGAAAAAGAAAAGAAAAGAAAAGAAACATGACGATTGACACTTGTAAAGGGCATGACAGTCTGGTTTACGCGAACTAGTATATTATGTGTACCGAGTAAGCGACTTCACTTTCCATATTTTTACAAAATAAAAGTGAAGTAGGCGTTCACATGTTACCAACTTCCCAGTGAATTATTTCAAAAACAAAAACAAAAGAGAACTAATTTACTCAAATGAATTCCCACACAATCGCTTCCTCTAAAAGCTTGATTCCCACATACACGGTTTCTTTTTCTTTTGCTTTAAAATGATCTATTTTTGTGGCAAAAAAAAACTCGGTTCCATTTTCCACATTTTTTAAAAATAAAGACGAAAGCAATCACATTGTTTGATTTGAGGGAAAAGAAGTGGAGAGATTTTGCTCTCATTCCATTATTTGGGCATTGAAAATAAAATGGAGGGGAGGGAAAAATTTCTTAAATATTTTCCCTTCCCTTTCCTCTAAGATGGATCTTATGAAGGGAAGGGTATAATTTTGTTATATTACGACTAATTTACTCATAACATATATTCATAATCCAAAATGCCCCTCCTAAATAAGACAAACATGACTTCTCTTCTTTGCACCTCCCTTTCTCTGCACCTTTAAGAAGATATAGACTATCCAAATTTAATTTGAATGATTTATATTTAATATTTTTTATTTTTTGTTTTTGTTTTATAGTTATTACAATAAAAAAATTTAAAAAATATGATCATCAATCTAGGCAGTCCAATTTTAATATGAATTATCCAAATTTAATATTAAAAATTTATAATTTTTATTAGTGAACTACTCAGATACACTATGGACAATGTATATTTAAAATTTTTTACTCATATTTTTTTAACAAATATTTTTTCAACAGCATGTTAGAAGATTGTCTTTTCTTTTTGGCAATCTTTTATAATATAATCTTTATTTTTAATATCATATTACTAAAATAAAAGTTTATTTAAATTATAACAAATAATTTTAATATTGCATGTGTTACAAGTTCTAATGGGCCCCATTTCATTATATATATATATATATATATAATACCAAAGCTTATTAGTAAAAGTTGAATGCATTTTTTTATCCTTATTTTTAAAAAAATCACAAGTATAATTTATTAAATATTTATAAAAAGTAAGGGAAGATAATTTTAATAAGATAAATATATACTTATCCATATATAATTATTTTTTCTCCCCTCTCTCCACTATTCCAAACCAAACAAAGTCCCTTCCCTCCTCTTCACTAAAGTTCCTTTTTTTCCTCTTCATTAAAGTCCCTTTTTTTCCCCTTTCCATTAAAATATCTGCCTTCAACCAAACAAGATGTGAAAGGTAGATTCCAACATACACGGTTTCTTTTTCCCTTGCATTGCAATTTACGCTAAGGCTATACTTTTCTTGAGGTCACACTGT